ACTCCAAGTTACTCCAAACCTTTATGGGTGAGTAGATCTACATACCATATGCTGGAAATAAGGACCAGGTTGAAAAAAACGAACTTCTCCTTTAAGTGTGGTACCGATAAGCATAAACCTTTTTGGGGGGGAGGAGGGGTTCTGTTTACAATTAACTTATTAACAGATTCATTTGTGTGTTCTAGATTTGTGATTGTTTTGAAGCTTGTTTTGAGTTTATTTATTTTCTTTAATTGTGAAAAAAATCTAAATTATTTTGAATATCAGCCTCCCTCATTTCCTTTTGCCCAGTTTTACTTATAACATGTAACTTCCCCTATCCCCTCTACTTCACAGGAACGAGACATATTTCTGGGGTTTTCCTGTTATTTATATGGATGAAACTGGTTGTCGGAGGCATACAAACGAAGGGTAGTAATTCAAGTCAGTATACTGGCCCGGGTTCTTTTACCTCCTTTTCAATCTGAAATAGCATACAAGAAATGCATGTGAAAATAACAAGTTAAGTAAGATATTCAATTTATATTACAGACATCACATCAACAGTAATCAAGCAAATTCAGTTTTATTGTATACAAATATTTTGACTCTCATTGATCATGGCCGCTCAATGACTTAATTGCAGTTAAACCTGGTTGGATTAATTTTTCTAAATTAACTCTGCATTGTAGGCTTTATTTAAAAAGCTCTGCACACAATGTCCAGCACACAAACAACAACACAATTATAATATATTGTAGAACTGTTTGAGGAGGGCTCAATATAACAAGGAATCATTCTGAAGTAGAGTGATACCTAGAGCATATCAAAGAAATAGTCATTCATTATAATATAATGTACATGTGATAATCATGATATGGAAAGACAGAGCTTTAAGAGCATTTCATCTGTCTAATAAGTACAGATATCTGTCTATCTAGGGTTCACATATGTAGAGAACTGTTAATCTTATCAGCTTCACACTTGTGTATTATTAATGGCCCAATTTCATGTCCCATGTTATCACCACACAGACAGCCACATCTGTTTCCTGCAGCAGAGACTGCATTGTTAATGAAACAAAGTTTGGGAGAGTTGATTTTGCAAGTGGTCTAAAATACACTTCCTCATCAACAGGTGCCATCATGGGACTGTAGTGGGTAATTTATGTATTTAGGGGCTCTTTAATGAATCTGACTTAAAACACTGGTACGAAAAATGTAACACATCTGCGTCAAGGAGAAGAATATGAAAATGTGTAGCTATGCTGCTCAGCTGCTTACAACATGGCTTGAAAGCTGACTCATTATGATATGCTTCTTTCTCTGTCAGGTTCCTGTAGGTACTGTGAAGACATAGGGCAAGCTGTTGCGGAGACACCATGAGGCAGCTTAAAGGCAAACCCAAGAAAGAAACATCCAAGGATAAGAAGGAGCGTAAGTTGGCCATGCAGGAAGCGCGACAGCAAGTGGCCACTGTAGTCCTACCTACATTGGCTGTGGTGGTGCTGATCATTGTGGTCTTTGTCTATGTGGCCACTAGGCCTGGTGCTATTGAGTAGACATATCCATTAAAGAGACATAAACTCTTAAAGTAACCAGGCTTTGACAAACTGACAGGCTATAGCTACCCATAATATGGCTCTGTTGTGACTGACTTACCATTTGTCATCATGAAAACCCCCTCCAAAATGTTTTTTGCTTTAAGACAAATGAATATGACCCAATCGTTTACATCAACAGATGGATTCATGTTGATCTGTTGCATAACTATGCTATATCAGGCATACCAAAGGACTTGCATGCAACCTGTCAGGTGTGTCCAGAAATGTTTAAAAAAAAATGTGTTGTCTCGTGTTGCATTTTGACCAGCACTCTCCTCCAGTACCTGCATGAATAATGTTTGAAAAAAGAACTTAAGAAGTTTGTCCATTGTAGAGTGTTTTCTCTGAAGCCCAGTATGTTTATACATCGAAATGTTTTCATGTATAATGTCAGAATTGCCCTATGATATTGAGTCACTCGTGACATCTGTGCAGAAATAACAAGGTGCCTTAACAGAGCTGCAACTTTTACTTTACTGCACTGCTCTTATTCAGTGTTTTAGAGTTCTTGATTTCTGCACATTTATCTGTTTATGTGTCACACAACCAGAAAAAAGTGTACGTCTGAGCAAAAAGTAATTGTCTTGGTCATAAAAGGGTAATTAGGTAGATTAGGACTTGACTTGTCTCTGTTGCGCCAGTTTGTCCAGTAGCCTAGTAAACATTTTGAAATCAAGTGCACAAATGTTGTGCTAAGGGCTGTTTTTTTACATTTGGATAAATATTGTTTTTCAAAAATAAAAAACACATGGCCAAGTCCAAATCCATTTTTGCTAGTTTAATGGCAGAAAGAAAAGTTGCTGAACCAGGTACTAACCCTCTAACATGCAATATACCAATTTGAGTGCCATCTCCTATTCCCTTTTAAAAGTTATGTGCACTGCACTTGCACCTTGCTATTATAAGGACAGGTAAATAGATGTGTGTGCTACACATTCATGTTTCACACTTGCCTATGTGGGTGTGGATTACTACTATGATGATGGGCCTTTACATACGGGTGGGAAGTATGACAACAGTTTCAAGATTTTTTTTTTGTCAAGCAGGATCACAATCTTGTATACTTTTTCATGTTTGAAACATTTGTATATATTATAGCCTGACAAGAAAATAAAACTAAAACAAAATAATGATACAGACCATTTAGGCAAAGTACCTTTTCAAATAAATTCAATCAACTAAGTACATTCAATGAGAATGACTTGTAATCAGTTGAAATTAGAGTTGGTATGAATCTCATCCAAAAATGAAAGTTGGTGTCAAAAGTTAAACAGCACACAAGTAAAGTGTACTCTTTCTACATAAACCTTAACAAAATAAGACAGATTCTCATCAAAACCAAAATTTTGCATAACTCCCAAACAAACATTGGTTTCAAAAGTATCATTAGTTGTGCAGTGCACGTGAGTCATTGCCTGTAAAACATCAGAGACACAACTATATGAATATGATTCAGTTTTAATAAGGAAAGTATCTTACAGGAATATTTTTGATATACTGTACAAACCTGTTGATGTTTTAGATATGTGGTATAAAAATAACAATTACAACCTATAACTTCTAATCACTACCATTATTCAATTCAATCTGTTTTATTTGTATAGTGCCAAATCATAAAATACATAGACATTTGAAGTTTGGCCAATTTAAGCATTAACAATCAATTTACAACAACTTCCTATTTCACAGCAAAACTTCAAAATTCAACATTATGCATCATACATCTTCAACTTCTTTTGACAGCACTAACCAAATTCGAAGTTGTTGATTGAAGAATGCCTGCGAATAACAAACACCAAGCAAAAAGTGTACATCACAATCAACATTGCCAACGTCCTGTTCAATTTAGGGTATGGGTCGAAGACTTCAAAGTCTGGCCCTGATACATACTGTATACCTACCAATTTTCCTAAGCCAAATACAAATCCAAACCAAAGTTATGACACAACAATATAAAATAATTCACATGGAGGAAAAGCAATCGATAGCCAATAACATAATCAACAATTATAAAGAATATAAAAATAAATCAAGAAGGAGGAAATGCACTGAATGATAAATGGAATAATTTTAAAACTATTACACAAGAAGGATTTCAAAAATAAGTAATATTTTTGTCATTACAGCACAATCACCACATGTCTTTACCCTCTGTACCTGTTTGTCCATGATGGCAGCTTGGAGAAGGGGGAGATCTGTGGCTGATCAGGTAGGAGAGGGGTCAGACCAGTTCAAGAAATGATTGAACTTTCCTCCTCACTCCTCTGACCTGTGCTCACTTTACACTTTAACAAAAAACACCATCACTGATTACGAGTTATCAGGACACATACAGGGTTGACGTTTACTTTGTGTTTTTTTGATTCTCCAGAGATTATCAGTTTAAACCTGCGAACACAAGACAGTCAGGACATCAGGGTTCAAATGCAGCGTGGTGTTTTAACTTGAAGAAGCAACGCCCTGTCTATTCAGGAACATTAATATTTATTCAGCAGGTTTTTATAAAGATCAGTGTGATGATTAGAAAACATCAGAGGAGCAGAGTCACTTGTTGACCTGTGCAGAGTAATGTGTCTCAGTGCAGTGGTGCTGCTAAGGTGGGGTGTGGCGGGGCCACCTTGATACCTTGATTGATAAAGCACTTCCCTAATAAAAACTGAGTTTTGTCTGACTGATTTTATTTAGTGATATTAACTGATGAAAAAGCAGCCATGTGCAGTAATATAGGACATTGTGGATGTGATACATAGAAATACATCAAGATGCTTCGTTGTTTCCTTTGTTGTTGTCTGCTCTTGTGATAAACCTAGTGAATACCAAAGAAGACCAGTGTGTCTGTATGAACTGTTGAGTATTTGACAATTGCGCGAGTATGAGGGTTATAAAATAAATTGTTAAGTGGGTCAGAGATGTTCTACTAAAACTTTTTTTTAATAAATAATTACGAGAAGTGCCCTTTTTCCTATTTGAGCCCTTGCCCTTCAAAATGTCTGTGCAGGTCCCTGCCTTCACTCCATCTAGAGGGTTTCATCAGCACAGAACCTAGCCCCAAACATTAATGAGCTGGCAGCCAAGAAAAGATGCCAAACATCTGGCTCTGGCACAAGTACATAAGAGAAGAATGTAGCCAACCTAAATATGTTTTTTTTTGCACTTTATCCAATATCCTGTCTATCTTGTTTATAAATGTTGACCCCGTTAGACCCTCACTGTAGTCCCAGTTTTAAATGTTGGCCCTCTCTGTGATTGAGTTTGACACCCCTGCTCTAAGACAATCGTCGCCAACCCATTGATTGTGATAACAAATTGAAATGTTACGAATGCTTTTACTTTGATAAATGGTTTAAAATAGGTACTAGAAAATTATCTTTCACCTGAGTTTGAATGTTTATCTGTTGAATTGATGTCACAAACATGAATGGTTGCAATACTTCCTGTATTCGTTTCACAATAAATCTGTTTTTTTTATATGAAATATTACAGGAGCAGAAGAAACATGGCTGCATACTGTATAATGCTGGTATTTATTTGACTACAGAGGTCTACTTTTACAAAACAAAATAGTCATATTAATGGCCATATTTAAAGCAAAGGCTGTGTAAAAACATTGTGCTGCAGAAGATATTATTGAACTGAGAAGATACATATTGTGCATTGAACAGATCCTGTAAATATGACTTCATAATAATGTAAATATTGTGCATTGAATAGATAAAGTTGCATAACTGCCTTTCTTTGTGTATATTTATGCTGGTAAATTGAGCCTTTTAACAGAAATTGCACAGATATCACCCCTAATCAGGGTGGTATATCTTGGTTTATTTGGAATTAAAAGGTGATCTCTGCTAATGATTGAGATCAATTGGGTAAGCACCTCTGATTACAAGAGAGCCATCTCTGTAAATGGTAAATAGTTTATATTTATATAGCGCTTCTCTAGTCTTGATGGCCACTCAAAGTGCTTTACAGTACCGTTTGCCATTCAGCCATTCACACACACAGTGCATCTATTAGCAGGTGGTTTTTTCCTATGATGGGCAATTTGGGGTTCAGCATCTTGCCCAAGGACACTTCGGCATACAGATGGGGAACACTGGGATTGAACCACTGATCTTCTGGTTGGAGGATGACCACTCTTCCCCTCAGCCACAGCCGCCCACACTCTCTGTGTGGTCATTGTTTGTCGGACAAAGTTCTAATTCCTTCCAGGATATCAAATGTTTGCCGTGATCAGGGCTTGTTTCATGACATTTTAAGATTGCACCAATATTAACCCAGTCATTCTGTCCCTCTGAAATGAGACTGAAATAACTTGCTAGCAAAAGCAGTACACTGCATCATTCTGCTTTCAATATGTTCGCAATTTCGTCTCACTTTCTCACCATTTGTAAGGCTTCTGAACATGTGGTATTGGAAGCTTTTATTTAAATAAGACTTTCTTGTCTTTCGGTACAGGACCTCTGCGAACCAAGTCAGTCCTTAGTTGGTTAGACAGATTTGAAGGTCACTGAGCAGGATCCATAGGTTGTGGTGGAGCAGAGTTCCTTTACATTAAATATTTCGGGCAGTGCGATGATGGGCCTGGTATGAAATGAAAACATTATTTTTTATTGGCAACACTAACACTACTAATAGCATGGTCTCTATCATTAAAACTAAGTAAAGTAAAGGAATAGTTTGTTGTACACTAAGACATTAATATTGGCTGGCAAGATATTGTTAACTTGGTTAACATCATCTGGTGTTGTATCCTACATGTCTGTATCCTGTTAACCTGGAGTTCCAATTGGGTCATCATCAGCTGCTGTGTGGGACACTTAGCAGTACACACTCTTGACTTATACCGTCAAGAGTGCAACATGATTGCATAACATGCAGGGTAGACAAAACAAGATAAATCATAAAAGGTTCTATTCAGGTACAAGAACACAACACAGTGAATTGGGATTTAAAAACTAATTTTACTTTGGCTGGAGGGTGCATGTAGCTTTCATTGTACAGGTTGTTAAAAATAACATTCAAAATTCAGGCAGTCGATGACGGTGTGAAGGTGCTGTAAAGAAAATCACGTGATCGCCTGAATGGAATTAAAACATTACTTTCTGCCTCTGTCTGCTGTACCGGCTGCTACACCTCTCGCCTGAAAAATATGGATGATTTGTTGCTGTTGTAAAAGCGTGCAAAGAATATTGTGTGTAGCTTGAATAGTGATCTATGACCAGTTATATAACTGTCCTATGACCAGTCAGCTTAACCTAACTTGATCAAAGACATACAAGGGCGCACACACAATTGGCTCGGAAATAAGATACATACACACTAATGAGCAGTTAAGGGAAATGTGACTTGCACATGCACAAGTCCTGGCAGCAATATTGTTTATTAAAGAGTATAAAAGTTCTGGTTACGGTTGAAATAAGCAGACCCTTCCACTGCAATTCTGCCTCTGTGTAAGACTGCATCTTAGGCTGGGTCTGGACTGTAAAGCGGTCACAAAAAGGTAAGAAAATTCATTCCATTATTTAATTTACTGTCTCACCCAGACCCAAGAGCAGTGAGTAGTGTCTAACACTCTCCAGGAAAGATAATGAAAGAGTCTTGCAGGTGGTCTATTCACACAAAATAGTCCCCAACCGGGACAAGAGGCCCCAAACAGTGAAGGAAAAAAGGGACTCTTCTGTGTTTGAGCAAATTTGACTCCATAGTCTTGTGAAGTGAATCTGACCTAATTAAGTTTGTAAGTAGAGTTAATGAGTTTGAGAAATTCCTAGAGTTAATGCCAAGGATGGCAATATGAGAATAAGCGCTATTGATCATACTTGTGAGGCAGCTCACAGATACGAGCAAGGAGAAACTTCTTAACTAGTTAACATTGAGACTACATAAAGTAATTAATTACGTGAAAGTTTAGAATGTAACTCTGAAAAATTTGCAGTCACTATGAGAGGGCACCTCTAATTAGGGTTTGAGCCCTGAGGGGCAGAACCCTATTGTTTTTGCTTTGGTTTGTTATTATTATTTTACTTACTCGGCTCAAACAGGACTGAGAGTAGGAAGGAAGTTAAGGGATGTGGCCCCTTCTCACTCCTTCAAGTTCCTGTGAGCCTGCCTGCCTCTGTGTCTGTAAAGCTGCACTATAGTGCAATACAATTAAATGATACACACTGTATGCCCAAGATATAGTGCTGAAAGATTTTTTTGTTAATGATCTAGAAAAACATAGTACCTGCTTTGTATCATCCTTTTTTGCTTGATTGTTGTGGCTGAGGGGTAGAGCGGTCGTCCCCCAACCAGAATGTCAGCAGCTCAATCCCCAGTCTTCCCCATCTGCATGCCGAAGTGTCCTTGGGCAAGATGCTGATCTCCGAATTGCCCCTCGTAGGTATAAAACTACTGCTAATAGATGCACTGTATGAATGTGTGTTTGAATGTTT